TGAGCGGTTGCGGTTTCCGTGAATTTGTCACCGGAGTCACCCTGTCCCCGACTCGCAATCGCAAACTTAGTTTGCGCTGATGAACCAAAATTTGGGAAACTAAGATTTGAATTGAATTTGATTATATATTTTTTTCCCTACAACTTTGTCTTGCATGTTCTGCGAAAACATCAAACACATTTTTTTCTTTTACGAATTTTAATGTATCTGTAAGCTTGTTTATCTACTATTGATCATATACATAAACGATTTGAACTATTTTGACGTTGCAATTACATTGTATAATATATTGCCCACATAACATTGCTTTAGAAATAAAAACTCGTCATCTGACATATTCGAAGGATTTCAGCATAAAACCCTTTTATCAATTTCAAAAATATATCCAAAACAGTCATCGCATTTACAGTTTAACCCAAATATTACGTCCCAATGGAAGCTGTGAGTATAAAAATGCAAATCACTGACAGTAACGAGCGAGATACTTTTACAAGTACGCCATAAGAAGCAAGATGAGTAATGTTTTTGTTTATGTTGATGACATTATTATAGCAGTAATTTATACTTTTACGAAAATAACTTACACTAAAATAATTTTTAAAAGTAACGACACTAGTTTCCAACACCAAACATTAAGATTGCACTGGGTGTAGAGTATAGAGAGAGTAGGGTAGAGTGTAGAGTATATGCATTACGCATTGCAAAATATAAACATTTTCGTTTTGTTTTTACGCAATTTTTTTTAGCTGAGCTCATTGCATTATCCTGTTTTCTGATAGACAAATAAAATAAACAAATTAATTTAATCATAATATGTATAAAGTGGAAATTTATACTTGAGTAACACGAGTTAGAGTTAAGCTTTAAAATTCATTTATTCTGACACAAGAATAATCCAGAAAGTCTTATTTGAAACATCGTGACTTTCTTACAAATCGAAACGTATTCATGTTAGTGCAAACAGATGAAGAGCTTACTGAAGGTAGTCGACTGCCAACGATGGTCGTTTGAACAGCCATTGAACAATTGTTTGCTGACACACACTCGAGATCCGCTTAGAATACGGAGAAAAGTGTGCTCCGAGAGAATTGTGCTCGGAAACCAATGGAGAGGGAATGTAGCTGTGTGTTTATTGAGTCTCGATATGAAATTAATTAGCTCATTGTATATGATGTGCACTACTAAATATGTTTGTCTCCAAGGTATTCAGTAGTCAATCAATCTTACTAAGAAAGTTTAAAAAGAAGCATATAGAAAATAATTAATTAAATTAAAAAACGACCACACAGCACTTTTTGCGTCCAACGAAGAAGGAATGTGCATCCTGCTGGGCAAATTGGAACAAACCAGCAGAGAAATTGGGCTTTTCGTAAACAGAGCAAAGACCAAAGATATGGTGGTCGATCGTAGCCACTCTCTCACTATGACCAATAAGCTAAGCATGGAAGTCGTTGAGGATTTCATTTATCTGGGCTCCGTCATAGCTAGTAATGGATCCTCCGAAAAGGACATCAGAAGGCGAATCGGTATGGCAAACGGACCCAAGTGGACCGTGTATGGGCGGACAGAAACATTTTGAGGAATATCAAGAAGCAGCTCATCATCTCCTTCGTCTTTTCCATGTTTCTCTACGGCGCAGAGACTTGGACCCTCAAAAAAGCCGACCGCCAAAGCATCGATGCGCTTGAGATGTGGTGCTGGAGGAAAATGCTCGGGACTGATTGGACAGAACACAGAACCAACGAATCCATTTTTACCAAGCTCAAGATTCCGATGTGTCTCAGTACTATAAGCGCGCAGAGGAGTTTCGAGTTCTTTGGAAACATCACTAGAAAGAGAGGTGAAAATTTGGAAAAGCTACTGGTAACAGGCAAAGTATGCGGAAGAAGACCCAGAGGAAGCAGGCCAAAGCGCTGGTCGGATCAGATACGCTCCACTCCCAATACTTCAGGCCACGTTGCTATCTACATAGCCGAGGATATGCAGGAATGGCGCAGGAAAATACAGGAGAAAGTTGTTAGAGGAGGCCCCGACCCTCAGCATTGAGGATTATCGATGCAAGTAGGAGGAAATTAAGAAAATTTGTAATCCGAATAGTGCAAGCAGCTCTTCATAATCTTTAAAATATTGAGGAATCTAGTTCGGTGAGTTGAGATATTGATTTACATTTGGAAAATGTAGGAAAATTTCCACTAATGTGTGAAATGAGTTCGTCGATATTTGACTAATGTGATATTCAGAGCAATTTTAATTGTTTGTTTTTGATTTAAAAAAGTGAGCAGATGATAATAAATATCAGAGAACTTCAAAGACCAGCTTCAATAGCCACGTCAGCTAGCTATAATAGACCTCTGATAATGTTTACACATCGCAGTTCGGTGACAAATTATTCCCATGAAAGCTGTTCTAATTCACAAGAAACAGCGTACAATAAACCCTTCAATCGACATGTAAATGTAATCAACGAAATTCGATTAATTACAACAGTATCTCTCAGCGACTGGAAAATATTGCGAACCACTAAACCGGACCATTAGTTTCAAGTAGTATCACTGAGACCTGCAGTGTACCGGGATTTTTTTGGCTTACCTAAGTACCAGTAGTCTCGAAGGGCTATCATGGTTTCACTTTGATTATTAGGCGAGCTCACGACGCTGAACCGAGATAATTTTACTAATATCGGCCCTAGCAAGGGCAATGTGTCGCAAAATCTACCAACGGATCGGAATCGCGACCAGCTGAGGACATGCGGGCAGAATTTCAGTGGGCTAAGTACCGTGTTAAGTTAAGTGGCAATGGGCCGGCCACAAGCACGAAGAGAGGACGGTCGATGGGGCAGAAAGATCCTGGAGTGGCGACCACGTACTGGCAAGCGCAGTGTGGGACGGCCACCTACTAGATGGACCGACGACCTAGTAAAAAGCGCTGGGTCTCGTTGGATGCAGGTGGCAATGGACCGGTCGCACTGGAAATCTATTGGAGAGGCCTATGTTCAGCAGTGGACGGCGATANATGGGGCAGAAAGATCCTGGAGTGGCGACCACGTACTGGCAAGCGCAGTGTGGGACGGCCACCTACTAGATGGACCGACGACCTAGTAAAAAGCGCTGGGTCTCGTTGGATGCAGGTGGCAATGGACCGGTCGCACTGGAAATCTATTGGAGAGGCCTATGTTCAGCAGTGGACGGCGATAGGCTGAAATGATGATGATGATGAAGTACCGTGTAATATTATCCCCTCGGTAAGAGCATCAAAAAACTGGTTATAGATATAGCTGGTTTTAATATAGTTAACCGGTGATTTCTTCTCATATCTTTCTGTTCTTTTTTTTTAAAGTAAAATATCAAATTTTCGCATGATAAGCATGTTACGATTTTTTTTTTCAATTAAATACATCCCTGATTCCTAAATTCCAACCTCTGATCACGAAATAAGTTTTTATTACCTGTATTGGAGTCATGCTATCCTATCAATCGGGATGGGTTTGACTTCATTGTCGGAAAATGTGGGACGGTTATAAGAATATATTATATTTAGGTTATAGGATTTAGGACCAAAACAGTTAAAATAGGTAGATAAACAACGTGACGATGCTATGGCATCTATGCTATGCTATATATCGGATCAAATCTTAGCAAAAATAGTTTTGTTAAGAGCATAAAATTTTTGTGAATTTTTACCGTGCGGATTTCGATCTTTAAGGTGACTTTTGAATTAATTATTTAAAAAAGCTTGATCTAAAATTATGTATGACCACAATATGTTTAAGGAAATTAATTATAAAAAGGTAAACTAGAATAATTGTTTAAAATGATAATTCGGCCTTTTGGCTAAGATACACTTAGCTTGTCTGTATGTAGCTTTCGTTCGTGTTAAATTTCCATTTCTAGATTAGTGTCATACTTGTCATCATTTCGGCAAAAAAATGCTTAAATATGTCATTAACTGAGTCATAAAAATACTTGGTAATAATTCATGTCGCTTCGTAGTTTCGTTACGGCAAAAAATGGAGGTCACACACAAAAGTACATTTTCTTATTGTAACATTGGTATATTTCGAGGTTGCCTAAATTTTGAGCTAGCTAATACAGTTCAGTTTCCAAATGTGACAGGATAAACATGGGAATAAATCTTAGATACAATAAAACCACTATTCTGCTATCATCTCACAACTTACTGGCCTGACCGGTAACTGTCAAATCTCAATATAACATCATGATGGATGGCACTGCGTAACTTTTTGCACGGAAAACCTGGATTTTGACGCCAAAACTGCTATGAAAGAAATGGATTTCCTTTGTCGGGTAAATGATGAGCACTTTTTTGTTTAAGCGATGAAAGATAATATAGTGGAAGTGAAAAATGAATGTTTACAAATTTACGGTATAACGTAGTAGATATTTTTCTTTTTGTGTACATTTTTGCCCGGAATAAATCATAAATTTGTTATTGATTACATTCCTGTTTTCACAAAGATTGTAAAAACAAATTCGATATTTAAGCCTGTTTTGCGGACTTTTTTTTGTTATTTTTTTGGTTGCCAAACCCCACGGATATTACAACATAAAAATATTTTCGGCCATCTGGTCCAAAACAACTTTTCAATGGCAATAGGCAGTATTATTCTACATCCCATGCAGACTAACATTCATTTAACTTTCACGGTTTTATCATTTAATTTTCATCTTTAACAGATTATATCTTTTTAATGGAAGTCATTCACAAAGATCATACCATTCACTTATTTTAACTTTATTTATTTATTGCTTAGGTGGATGGACGAGACCTTAGAACTTATATCTCAAGGTGGGTGTCGCATTTACGTCGTAAATGTCTATGGGCTCCAGTAACCACTTAACACCAGGTGGGCTGTGAGCTCGTCCCCATATAAGTAATAAAAGTTTCTACGTTGGGTACTGAGTAAATCGAAAGGTGTCTATTATGGGGTGGATATAATAATGGATGTGGGAAGTTAATTTTATTGGTTTCTATTGTTTCAGGTGATATCTGTCATATCAGTCTTCTTCATCTGCATATCAGTGCTCTGCTTCTGCTTGAAGACCCATCCTGATCTTCGAGTGACGATGCCTACGATAGCGCCGCCAGAAAGTAAACCCTTAGACAATTCTACGATACTAGAGACTCTCCTTTGGCTCGATAACGGAAAGCCACATATAGCTTTCTTCTACATCGAGTTAGTCTGCAACGTGTGGTTCACAATTGAACTACTCATCAGATCTGTGGTGAGTTGTATTGTGCATTATTGTCTAGAAAATAGAGATTATTATTGAAGTGAAAACTTCTTTAGAATCGTTGTGATTTCAAACCGGATGCAACGGAAAAAACGACAGGTAAGAGACACAAATACAAAAATGTGTAGGATGAAGCCAGCAAAGAATGAGACAGAAATATACATACTATTTAATACAGCGCCATCTGTGAGATTTTTTAATACTAACGTGTGTATGAAAGCTCTTNGAATCGTTGTGATTTCAAACCGGATGCAACGGAAAAAACGACAGGTAAGAGACACAAATACAAAAATGTGTAGGATGAAGCCAGCAAAGAATGAGACAGAAATATACATACTATTTAATACAGCGCCATCTGTGAGATTTTTTAATACTAACGTGTGTATGAAAGCTCTTGTAGTGAATTTTAATTTAGGATTATACGTGAAATTAATATATCAATTCACAGAGGGCGCTACCTTACAATTATTTACTAATGACAAAATTTTACATACACTTAAGACGTTTAGGATAATTGTATTTTAATTTTGGAAGGTTTCACTTCTACCATGTGTGAATTGCACACATGTATTTTTATTAGAAATATTTAGAATACCTTTCAACATAGAATTGATTTAGTTTTATTTGATACAAAATTTTCACTAACCTAATGGTAATAAATTATTGTTTTTTATTATAGTGTTACTAATACACACTAGACACCATTTTGTGCGTTGCAAAAGCAAAAACTTATATATTACTATCTGGCCCGGCAAACGTTGTTTTGCTATATAAATTATTTCTAGGAAAGATAAATAACCTAGATACCGTCTGCAGCGCCATCTGCCGGGCTGAATTGTAAATCTAAACAATTCTCGAATCCACCTGAAGGTACACAGAAAATTTCATTAAAATCGGTCCAGCCGCTTAGGAGGAGTTCAATGACAAACACACGCACAGAAGAAATATACCTATATATATATAAAGATATGTATATTAATGTTAAAATCGTAGTGAAGGTAGTTTTTATTAAAGCCACGCTGTCCTGGCCGCAACAGTAAAGAATACCTAACCTATGGCTTCCTTAACCAATTAATACAAGGTTACTCGTCTCTATAAACAAAGAATAAACCTAAAATAAGGATAATTAAAGTCCTGAATCGCTACTGGCACGCGTAAGTTACTTTCTCGAAATTATGTACTTTATATTGCTCTACACCAAGCTAGTAAAATCTAATTTTCATTCAATTTTTATACCGTGGGTAGGTGCAGTGTATTAAGAAGATATTTTGCCGCGAATATAGTCACTCGAGATCATTGACCCCATGTATGATTGTTTATTATTAGTGTTTAAATTCAAATAATATTATTATTCTATGTTTAGAAATTAATGCCATTAGTATGACAGGGCATCACTTGAAAATGACTCGATTGATTTCTTTTTAGTATCTTATACCTTTAAACGAGCAATTCTTGTATATGTGTATATATATAATCTGAATCTCGAAAACGGCTCCAACGATTTTCATAAAATTTAGTAAACAGGGGATTTCGGGGGCGATAAATCGATCTAGCTACGATTTATTTTTAGAAAATGTTGTTTTATTCGCGTTTTTAATAATCAACTTTAACCGACATCTATTGGCGAATAATAATACTATTTTTCTTAATTGAGGGCAACTAACCGCTTTAAAAAAAACCGAGCAAAGGTCATAATCTAGTTCATAATTATCAGGGCAAGTTGTTTATAGGAATATGCAAGATTTTTTTGGAAAATTCTCGGAGAAATATTCCCAAAGCGGATCATGGCCAAATATATACTAGTAAAATATATATTTAAAAATTCAGCACTTGTACAAAACTAGCATCCATTTTGTCTCTCGAAAAGGGTATCATCTTCACCATGTGAATATTATACGTCACGTTTCATTTACTTCTGAGACTTTTAAGACACGAAATTGAGAAAATATTTTCAGCAAAACCATATCAGAAAAGAGCTTTTAGCTTGAATATTACGAAAACAATGTCAATGTTTCAGAAGACGAATTTAATGGAGCTCTTGAGTTAAAAACGTGCTGCAGCAAGCTGTCATAAAATTGAAGGGAAACAAATTGAATTAGAAGTTATTGGTGAAAGGTTTTAATATACTCGTGAGGTTTTGGTTTTGGCTTTTGCCAGGGCCAGTGTTAGTAATACTCCCGGTTTGAGCCCCGTGAGCTCACCTACTAGCTCGGTGAATCTAGAATAATCTTTCGAGGCTACTAGAATTCTTCTTCCTATTCGTACACTCTTGACAGAGTGGTCGTGGTCATGCATCAGTCGGATCCTGCGATACCGATGCTCTCGCGATGCGACGCCACTAAAATAGGTAGGGAAAAAAAGACGGTTTATTAACTTTTCTCCTCTCCTTGCGTCGATAATTCTCAATGCTGAGGATCGTAGCTTTAATAACTCCCTTAATAACTTTCTCTTGGACTAATCTGCCCCAGCACATCGGCTGCGCGGATGGTATCATGGACTGAGATTTTGAGAGGGGAGCATATAAATATAGTGCGACCAGCGTATTAGATTTCTACCACTGGGCCTTCTTTCGCCTTGCCTTTTACCAGCAGCTTTCCTAAATTGTTACCTCTCTTTCTGGCAATGTGTCCAAGTACGAAACTCCCTCGCGCGCTTATACTGCTGATCTAAAACGTAATTTTGAATTCGGTAAGGCTGGATTTACACAGCACCACATCTAAAACTATATTAACTTTAAAAAAAAGTAAGTAATTATTTTAGATGTATTATTCGCGTTGTTTAACCCACTGAGTTTCTCGCCGGATCTTCTCAGTGGGTCGCGTTTCCGATCCGGTGGTAGATTCTGCCTAGCACTGCTCTTATTAGGGCTAGTGTTAGCAACGTCCTCAGGGTAGACCTACGTGAGCTCACCTACTCATTCAGTTACGCAGGTATAACCTAAAAAGGCTAGCAGCATAGGCCTGAAAAAATATATTAAAAAAAGCATTGTGTGCCTTAGAATCAATGTGTGTTAGAGTCAACTAAATCATGTTATATGTAAAAAATACCAAATTAATTTTATCACACAATAAACCATAAAATATTACTACATTTAGGTATGTGTACAAGGAAAGTGCACGCCCTAGTGAACGCTTCCATTAGCCGCTAATATACAATCCTATCCACTTATACCGTGTACATTGCACATAACAATGTAATGGACCATAAATTTTCTTGTAACGAGACTAGTTATAATATTGCAGTGCTGAAAGCATGCGTTGGAAAATGTTGGCCTTTAACTTAATATTATGAAGAGTTATTACGAAGAATTGACTTGCAGCTGTAACTTTCAGGAAAGTGAATGCTATGCGTACTAAAAATTCTCCAAACACTGCAGCATATCTATACATATAAAAAAATTGGAGCCTCTGTTTGTAATATTGAAATAGCCGCTTTTTACTACATGCATATGAATATATAAGTATATATGGTACATACACCAAAATAATATTTTTTACAATTTTTGTCTGTCTGTCTGTCTGTTTGTTCCGGCTAATCTCTGGAACGGCTGGACCGATTTTGACGAGACTTTCACTGATAGGTAGCTGATGACATAAGGAGTAACTTAGGCTTTTTAAGACTAGCTTCGCCCCGCGGCGTCACCCTACGACAATAAACGCGGGTAACATCACGGGACTCAGCTATCAATAATAAAATTTAATGTTTCCGAAGCGAAGTGAGGGCGGGTCGCTAGTATTAGTAGTCACTAGTATAGTAGAAGTCGTCGTGGCCTAAAGGATAAGACGTCCGGTGCATTCGTGTTGAAGCGATGCACCGGTGTTCGAATCCCGCAGGCGGGTACACATTTTTCTAATGAAATACGTACTCAACAAATGTTCACGATTGACTTCCACGCTGAAGACATAGCATCGTGTAATAAAAATAAAACCCGCAAAATTATAATTTACGTAATTACTGGTGGTAGGACCTCTTGTGAGTCCGCACGGGTAGATAACCTGTAACCACTTAACACCAGGTGGGCTGTGAGCTCGACCACACATCTAGGCAATAAAAATAAATAAAAATTTAATAAGATCAGCAGACAAGATTCTGATTTCGTGCAACCACAATCCACAGATAGGCCAGCATTGGAGCTCGCAGTGAATCGAGTCGAAGCGAACGATTTATTCGTTCAAAATTAATTTTAATTGCTTCGTCGCCATCAATAGCTAACCCTCTATTGTGTAAAAGATGAATGGTTGGTTTCCGACGACACGAACAGAGTCGGTTCGATTATTGTACTGTATGATGTTTTGTAACAAACATTTGATGATCAGTGAGAGAACTTTAGTTATTTGGTAAAAGTAAAAACATTTTTTGTTATTGTTAATAATTATCATTTCCAAAAAAAGAACTATGGCAGTTACGTTTTTATTTATACCTTTGATGGATAAGCCAAGCTTGCGACCCACTTGGTATTAAGTGATATCTTACGTAGATATGTTAAATAAACCCCATAGACATCAAAATGCGATTACCGTCAACTGGGTAGGATTGAGTATTCGGTTCTTATTACATTCTTATTGCTTATGAATGAGCTCACGGCCCACCGGCAGTTAAATTTTTACCGGAGTCTGTAGACGTCGAAATTGTAAAGGCCGCCACCTACCTTGCGACATGAGTCACATAGTTCAATAGTAGTGGTGGTAGGACCACTTGTGAGTCCGCGCGGGTAGGTACCAGCACCCTGTCTATTTCTGCCGTGAAGCAGTAATGCGTTTCGGTTTGGAGGGCGGGGCAGCCGTTGTAACTATACTGAGACCTTAGAACTTATATCTCAAGGTGGGTGGCGCATTTACGTTGTAGATGTCCATGGGCTCCAGTAACCACTTAACACCAAGTGGGCTGTGAGCTCGTCCACCCCTCTAAACAATAAAAAAAGACATGAGTGACACAGTTCAATAGTAGAATGACTGCCCTTCAAAAATGTTACCTGCCTGCGGGATTCGAAC